TAGGGGGAGGAGAAGGCTACAGAATATTCTTGTCTCCTGAGATACTACATATTATGTGCCAGGGAAGGTTTCCGCGGCAAACGTCCTTGGGACAGCAGCATCTCGCCGTTTCATCGTTCTGTAGAGCTCACTGCGTGTTTGTTTGTTTGTGCTTACGCTCGGTATATACATGTTATTGTATATAATATATATATATAATATATATATATATGTATACACGCAGACTTCATCATAAGTTAAGGACCACCTTGACAGACAGCCCAGATTTGTTAAAAAGACAACAAGGAATGTCTAAAAAATTATTGCTCTGAAAGTGTTCATGGGTTAACAATGTGTACTGCAAAGCTTCCTAAAGTGGCAAAACCACTTCGTGCAGCACCGAAATCTTGGGGGAATGTCAGTCAAATTTTGCAAGGATAACTTACTATGTTGAAGTCTGTACCCGCCTCTTTACGCTAGATGTATGCACCGCGGCATCTTTTCTGGCCTGTCACAGACTTCAGCGAAGAGCAGGAGCTGACGGTTTTACCCCATTCTTCGTGTTTATTTTGTCATGTGATGTGGCATGCGATTGCCAAAACCTGTTCGCGGATGTTTGTTGGAACGTATACACTGTGCACTTTCTTAAAATAATGTGGATGTACAATAATGTTTGATTTTGTCAGACATTTTCTGTTTGTTTTTCTGTGGCACGATGTCCATGTGAAACAGTTCCGGAAGTCTTCTTGCTGTTCATGTTGTTGGAAGTTTTGTTTTGGGGGGTTTTTGACTTTTTTTTGACAGAGGTTAGTTTGAGTTTGGTGGGTGGTTGGCGGGTGCTCTGGTGTGGTTTGCTCCTTCTTTCCTATCAAACATCTATCGTCCTTATCTCCCCTCTTTCTTTTTTTATGTTTGTTACTCTCTTGTAACACCTCTAATCTTCTGGCGCTCATATGACCTTATGTAGTTGCGAACGCCGTAAAACTTCTAAAACAAAACATAGTTTGAGTTTGTTGACCCAGTTAGAAATAAATGTTGTCGTGTTAGGTACAGGTTGGGTCCCGGTACATGGAAAATGTCGGCCTCATCCTGGTTTGTTTGTTTTTTGTTTTTTTTGGTGTGTTTTTGTTGTTGTTTTTTCAAGATTTATATTTGAATTAATTATTATCTCTTTTTTGTTTTTCAATAACAGCATTATTCCACTTCCACAGCACTGATTCATCAACCCCTGACCTTCCCAGTGAGGCAGCTGTGTCGTCTATTCTCTGTCTTGTTGTACTTGTCTGTTTGATTTTTATAATGAAGATTTTTTCTCCAGAGTAAGGCATGCTCCTCACCCCAACAC